GCAAGGTGTCATGAATATTCATTATGGAGGCAGCACTAGGTGAATGGTAATTACAGTAGAACTTAGTTAGCTAAGAGGACAGCATGCCATGAATATAAAATGAAACAAATGTAGAATCAAGTACAAGGAATCTGTGTTGTAAAGTATATCATTATTCTGTGAAACTTGCTGATGCAGGATATTGTATGAAGGCAAAGAGCTTAGTAAATAAAAAATACAGTATCTGTAATAACAAAGATGTATTAAGTTAGATAAATTAAGTTAGATAACATCCTTTCTCTTCATGATGGCATAGGATCACCTGAGAGGCTTAGGAAGAAACCCCAGTGTACTCCACTTCAGTGCATATCTAATAAAGGCATAATTTACTTAACTTTATTGTACAATGCCAGTCCCAATATGTTGACTAAAATTTTCTGTTTTCATTGTAACAAGCACTGATTATAAATGTAGTGCATAAACTGATTACCTGCACAGCACCCCCACTGTCTTTTGAAATCTGATTCTACTCCCTTTAACTGCATAAATGATTAAACTGACAAGGAGCCCTTAATTTCTAGGCTTTTAAAGCAACCATTAACTTACTAGATACATATACTATTAATTTCAAAGCAGCTATTAGAGGCCTAAGGCCCTCTTCAAAATAAGGGAATAGACTTTTGCACAGCATTAAAGTTGTAGTGCCAGCTGTCCTAGTAGCTAATGAGCATTGCTTTCATTGAGTTGTGAAACCTGCCAGCGCTGGTCAAGTGTGGAGCCTTTCCTCAGTGAGTAGGCTGTGCCCTTAAATGCACAAGAAGGTGAATAATGCACTTTAATGCCATCTTTCTGTGTACCCAGATTGCAAGGCAGTTTTGTAGCCCAAGCTTTAGTAAAGTGTATTACTTGGAATCTATAAAAAGAATAACAATCTATATTTTATGGGGTATTGTTGCTTTTCATTAGTTCCCTCTTATTTCCCTTTGTGAAAAGCTCTGGTGATCCACAGCAGGTCTGAGCAGCTCATCTTATGTACTGAGTTACGTTGACAACAAAAGAATATAAGAAATGTCATACTAGGTCAGAGTTTACCTAGCCCAGGAGTGCTCAACCTCTGGCCCACGAGCCAAATGTGATCTGCAGAGCCATGGTGTCTGGCTTGCGGGGTGCTCTATGGCTTGGGAAATATGGTGATAGGGGAGCAGTGGCAAATCAAAATTCTAAGTCCCGTGTATATGGTTTGGAGCTGGGCTACACTGGCAGGGCCCCATCCGGCCATGCAGAGGGTGGAGGGGGGGCAGCCTGGCCCCAATCCAGCTTCATGGTGGAAGGGGGCTTGCCCTGGCCCTAACCTGGCTGGGTGCAGGCAAGAGGGGTGGCCCCAACTGGGAGGAGGAAGGTGTGCATACTGACCCCGACCTGACTTTGTGAAGGGGACATGACCTGGCTCTTACCTGGTTGTGCTGAGTTAGGCTTGTGGCCCAGCTCTGCCCCACCCAAGAGGGCTTGGACTTTTGCCTGGGGGAGAAGGGGTGGCAGTATTACTATAGACTAGTCAGCCTCACCTCTGTCCCCAGAAAAGTGTGGAGCAGGTCCTCAAAAAATCCATTTCTAAGCACTTGGAGGAGAAGGTGATTAGGAACAGTCATCATGGATTCACCAAGGGCAAGTCATGCCTGATCAACCTGATTGCTTCTATGATGAGAGGACTGGCTCTGTGGATGTGGGGAAGGCAGCGGACATAATACACCTTGATTTTTTCAAGATTTTTGATATCATCTCTCACAGCATTCATGTAAGCAAAATAATGAATTATGGGTTGGATGAATGGACTGTAAGGTGGATAGAAAATTGGCTGGAACATCAGGCTAAAGGGTAGTAATCTATGGCTCAGTGTCTAGTTGACAGCTGGTATCAAGTGAAGTGTCCCAGGTGTTGGTCCTGGGACTGGTTTTGTTCAATATCATCATAATGATCTGGAAGATGGGATGGACTGTACCTTCAGCAAGTTCATGGATGACACCAAGCTGGGGGGTGTAGTAGATACATTGGAGGGTAGGGCTAGGATTCAGTGTAACCTAGACAAAATGGAGGATTGGGCCACAAGAAGTCTCATGAGGTTCAACAAGGACAAGTTAAAGTCCTGCACTTAGGATGGAACAATGCTGTGCACCGGTACAGGCTGGGGGCTGGTTGGATGGGCAGCAGATCTGCAGAAAAGGACCTGGGGGTTGCAGTGGATAAACTGAATATGAGCCAACAGCGTTCCCTTGTTGCCAAGAAGGCTAACAGCATGCTGGGCTGCATTAGTAGTGGTGTTGCCAGCAGATCGAGGGAAGTCATTATTCCCATCTATTCAGCACTGGTAAGGCCACATCTGGAGTACTGTGTCCAGTTTTGGGCCCCCTGCTACAGAAAGGACATGGACAAATTGGAGAGATGCCAGCAGCGGGCAACAAAAATAATGAGGGGGCTGCGGGACATGACTTGTGAGGAGAGGCTGAAGGAACTGTGTTAATTTAGTCTGAAGAAATGAAGACTGAAGGGGGGATTTAAGAGCAGCCTTTAACTCCCTGCAGGGTGGCTCCAAAGGGGATGGAGCTGGACTGTTGTCAGTGGTGACAGATGACAGAACAAAGAGCAACGGTCTCAGTTTAGGTTAGATATTAGGAAGCATTTCTCACCAGAGTGGTAGTAAAACACTGGGATACGGTACCCAGAGAAGCTCCATCCTTGGAGGTCGTTAAGACGTGGCTAGATAAAGCCTTGCCTGGGACGATGTAGCTGGGGTTCATCCTGCTTGGAGCAGAGGGCTGGACTAGATCAGTGGTTCTCACCGTTTGGCACCTTACGTCCCACCAACCATTTTGTCAAAAAACCCTGGTCCCACCATGTTAAAACAAAACCCCACAAAGCTGCAGTGTTCAAGATATCTGTTGAAGTGCAAACAACTGACTTTGTTCAATCAGGCAATGAGTTGAAGTCCCATCTACACGACCTTCGCATCCCGTCAGTGGGACACGTCCTGCAGGTTGAGAAACACCGGATTAGACGTGACCTCCGGGGGTCCTTCCCATCTCTCATGTTCTATGACTCTAAGGTGCAGCGAGGGAGGTTTTGGTTAGATACTGGATATTAGGAAAAACTTTCTCGCTAAGAGGGAGGCGAAGCACTGGAACGGGTTGCCTAGAGGTGGTGGGATCTCCATCCTTGGGGATGATCTAGTTGGGGTGATCTAGTTGGCTGGGATGATCTAGATGCGGACGGTCCCGCTTTGAGCAGGGGGTTGGTCTAGATGTGACCCCTTGAGGTCCCGTCCAACCCCAGCTGTCCATGACGATCTGCCAGTGATGTCCGCAGTGCTGCTCCCTGCCCCCACCCAGGGACAGAGGTTGCGGGGAGCTTGCTGAGCTCAGCCGGGGGGAGGAAACCTCTCCCCCTGGCTCCAGGCCACAAACGCAGCCGTCCTGCATCCAGCCCGCCCCGTGTGCGGCTCCGCGGGCAGCGAGGAACTCCGCGCGATGCACGAAACGCGCCTCGCTACTCCGCTCCAGTCCACTCCTCCCCGGGGCATTTTGCCCTGCTCCAAAATGGCTGCCGCGGCTTCGCGCGGATCTCGCGATGTTTGGCGCGGGAGTTGCCCGGCGCAGATGGCGGCGGCCGCACCATGGAGCACATCACCACGCCCAAGGTGAGGAGCCCGCGACAGCTCCCGCCCTGGCATGGGCTCCGGCCCGGCCCGGCCCGGCCCGGCCTCCTCTCTCCTCCCTCGTCCCCAGGAGGTCCCGGGGCTGCCCCCGTGCTCGGGGCCTTCCAGCTCTCCTCGGGGCTTCGGCCCCTGCTCCCATGCCCCGCACCACAGGCCCGGTTGAGAAGCCCTGAGGGGGCCGGATCCCCGGTTGAGAAGCCTGGATGGGGCTGGGCGCCGGGGCCGCCCCCTCGCCCTGCTCCACGTTTCTGAAATGCGAGCATGACCGCGACATGACATGGGCATCCTGCCCCGCATGCTCATGCGCCTCCCTGACAGAGTGTGTCAGGCAGGCAAATGCGCGTTAACGTTACGGTTTAGAGACTGTCTAAATACGATTCTGGGATCCAGGTTGTAGCCATATGGGTTGAGAGGAAGTGGCAGTTGGGACTCATTGGCAATGAGTCCCGATTGCTTTGTCCTCTTGACCCATATGGCTACAACCTGGATTGCCTAAAGGCCCTGATTGCCTAAAGCAGATTCGATAGTTCATATTTATTTTAATGAATGACCTGTTCTTGATCTCCCGGGTGCCTCTCATTTGTCTTCGTGTGATTTACATTTAATTCCCGGGGACTCCAGGACAACCCCACCCGGAGTCCTTTCTGCGCAGGACGCTGTCCTCGCTGCATGCTGATGGCTTACACGTGCCGTCCTTTCCAGCAGTAGTTTGCATCCCACCGTAGAGCCAGGTTAAAGGATCAAAAGTTGGTTCAGAAGCTGGGGTAAAGCTAGCAGTGACTGGTAACTAGCTTATTTCAAAGCAAGTTAAGATCCATGTGGAATAATCAAAATTATTTCCTTATTTTTTTAAAGGGGAGAGGTATGAATAGGGTTAAAGATTTTAACATGTATGTAGGTCCTGGCTTAGCTGTACTGTACTTGTTTGTTTAGGAACTAGGCACAGAAATTTCCACTTCTAGGTCACTTGCAATTGAATTCTGGTTGCATCAGGTGAGGGTCCAGCTGATGATTCTGTGCTTGCTTTCACCTCTTTGGAGCAAATGTACTTGCTGTACAGGCCTTTCAATAGGTCTGGTAGAGGGAAGCTGAGAGATTTTGGTGGGATGAGATGGATGGTCTTGAACTGCTGCTTCACCTGTAGCCAATCTGTAGGTAGGACTTGGAGCCTGTCTTATATTGGGTTACGTTGGAAGATGAACTTTCTCACAAAACATTCCAAAGATCAACATTTGTTTTCATGATTTTTTTGGTGTTGACGGAAAATCTAACCTTTCAACAAAAACTTTCTTTAGAAGTTCTAAAAAAAGATTTCTGGTTGAAAAGTTTGACTAGCACCTCTGGTCAACCTGTTACAGCTTGTTAGGACTGTTTCAATTTTAGATCCACATAAGTTCCAGGTAATGCTTTATGTCTTTGCTTTCATTTAAGAGTATATTTTTAAAGTCCCTCACATTTTGCTCAAAAGGTTCACTTTCCAGTTTGGGGAAGTCAGTCAACTTGATGCAGCTTTCAGATGTTTTCTCTGATCTGTAATACAACAGCAAGAGGCAGTGGGGAAGTGGAAGTAGAAGGGAGCTCCTGATCTTTGATTTGGTTGGAGGAGGATTCTTTAAATTCGCAACTGTTTCTCGCACTAGAAAGTGGTAGCAATCGGCAGGTAACTTAATTAGAGCAAGTAAACTCTCAGGATGGTGGATACTCTTGCAAATGTTACTGTTACCTCTCTCAGTTGCAGGAAGCATATCCTGCCAGCCCCTTGTTCATTGATATGGACTAGCCGTTAATGTTAACTTTTTATTCGTATGTTCTATAATGTGGTGTGCAAGGATCCATTAACTACTGATGTTAGTCCTTTGGCACTTAATGCACATAGGGCTTATTTTTATTGTACTGGTAAAGAACCATTATGAAAGTTATTGGTATGCATTGAAATGCAGTGGGAGAGGATCAGCAGTCTGAATCTTCAGTTTCAGTTGCTTAGAATTTTATTTTCTACTGAAATTTTCAATCTCGTTTCAGGTCAGTGACTATCTTTTACATGCATACAAAGTTATTTCCTAACGTTTTGCCTGATTTTTTTTTACTCGTCTGCTAACACTAAATTCTTTTATCTGCTTAGTGTCCTTTTTGAGAGAGAAATGCCTGAAGAAAAGGTCTTAATTAATTTGTTTTTTCTCCATTTTTATGTTGCAGGTAGAAAATGTTAAATTACTAGATCGTTATACAAACAGGAAGCCAGCAAATGGGACCCTCTACCTGACAGCTACCCATCTTATCTATGTGGACGCTTCAGCTGAAGTTCGAAAAGAAACATGGGTATGTTGTAGTGTGTGCAATTTTTTTTTTCAAACACATATATAAAAATTGCTGATGCTAGTTTTGTCTGTAATTGCAGGCTTTTAAATTCTGAAGACCTACTAATAGCAATTTTATAGCACTTTACTTCAAAGTGCTGTATAAAAATAGAACTCTTCACCAGGGAAATGGGTACAGTGGTAAAGTGACTCGATCAAGGTCACAAAGTGAGTTGGTGTTAGAACTAAAAATAGAATGTAGCTTGTCGGACTTTGTATTCCAAGTTTAGTACTTTGACAGCAGTTAAAAGTACTAAAGACAAAGACCTAGCAACTTATTATTAGTAATAGTAATTGTGGTTCCTTTGGTTTTTATTTCTAAAAAAATAGGTGAAGGTACAGTTACAACTGTCTTCCCTTTATGAACAGCTCTCAAGTGCAGCAAGCACACATCTTTATTATAATTTCTTCTTATAAAATGAATTTATCTTGGGTGTTACAGAATTTTCAGCTGAAGACCTTTGAACCTTTTTTTGTTTGAGTAGGTTCAGCATCTTGAGAGTTGTTGTTTTGGCTTTTTCATAATGTAATTCATGAACTTTGGAAACGATGCAATAGTTGGTGCCATTATATGTGAGCAGTATAAATATTTTTCCAACTTTCCACATAAAAATAATTTTCAGTGTCACAAATAGTTCCACCATAGCTCTTATTTTCCTTTCTTCATTTTTACTGTGTAAAGAAAATGCATTATCATGTCTCCCTTCATTAACTAACTCAAGTTGAATGACTGTTTGTATTTTTAACATGACTTGATAAAAAGTCATTAATTAGTAGAGAACAAGCCTGTGTATTGCAAAATCTTCGTATCCAGTCTTAATCCTACAACCAGTCAGTGAAGTTTGAAAGACTTTCCCTTCCTGTTTTTCAGATTCTACATCATCATATTGCTACTGTTGAGAAGCTGCCTCTGACCACAACTGGATGCCCACTGCTTATTCACTGCAAGAACTTCCGCGTGGCACACTTTGTCATTGGACATGAACGGGACTGCCATGAAGTGTATACCTCCTTGCTTAAACTTTCACAGCCAGGTGAGTGTGGGTCTGTTTTGAAATCTGTGAATGTAATTAGCTGGCAGGTTTGTTTTTGCAGCGAGGGAAGTTATTATCAGGCTGTTGGCTTTCCTCAGTTGGGACAGGAAGGAATGATTTGAAAATGCAAACTAATTTCACTACTGCCAGCTGCTCTTTGTGCTGCAGCAGTTTGCTGTGTAAAGTTCTGGCCCTTGAATAAGGCCACTGGCTTGCAAGAAAATACGTTTTGTGTAAATAAGGGTGTTGGAAAAGTCCTGAGGAAAGAATTGCGAGGTCCTGTGGAACAGCCGCACAGGCTTTTGCACTCTCTAGGCATCCTCTTCTGCTTGCTACTCCAGGGCTTGTAGAATCACATTTGGAATTTCAGAGTCTCAACCCTGTACTTTCCTCTGGGGTCCCTAAATAGCAATTGCGCATGAGAACTCCAAACAAATGAACATGTAAAATGTCATCTGTCTGCCCTAGTCTTAAATTCCTAGGATCTCTTCCATTTGTGCTCACTCTTTTGTTTTCTTGCAGAAAAGCAATCTACAGCATTTCCTCCTTGGGTTTTTCCCTCTACCTTCTCAGGGCAGTTTTTCCATACTTGGGACTCTCCCTTAATGAGCTTTTCCAGCCCCTTGTTAAGGAAACCTGACTTCTATGGGGATGTCTGATAACTAACTGCCCCACTGTGAGATGAAGACATGAGGGCTAATTAGGCCAGATTCTTATTACCCCTTTCTGCATTAATGTGGATTCTGCATTACCCCTTTCTGCATCCTGTTATTCACTTTTGAAATGTTTGTCTGTGCTCTTTCAGAAGAACACTTCAATGATGTTGAAAAGACTGCATGATAAAATGGGGAGGGGAGGCAGGCCAAAGAAGCCTTCTGTATATGGGCAGCACCAGCAGGGATGCTGCGGATGTGGATGGGCTGATTATAATTACTTTGTTTTTAAATGACCAATTTTAGTTATAAGCCAATAAACGGGGACATTTTGATTCCGGGTATTGTTTATTTTAATCTGTGGCATCTCTACTTTTTTTTTTTAGTTATTTTCCTAAAGAAAGGTTGATTGTCATAGTTTAATGTAATTTGGTGGTGTCTTTTTGCTAACTAGGGTGATGCATTTTGACTATATACATTTATTTAAGCAGTTATATCACTTTTTGGCCTTTCTGGCTCAGGTAATCTGTATTCAATTTCTTCCTCTCCCCTTTATCGAATTATAAGTTCTTTGTGATTCATGTCAAGTGGTTTTGGATAGAAACTGAAGTTCAGTTGGATTTTTTAGTTTGACTATATTAAATGTACTGAGTGTGTGAGGGAAAAGTTAATCAGGATATATTTTTTGCACATAAAATTGTTATGTGAAACAAGTAATCATAGGGAATTAATCTCATCCTCACACTTTGTTTTTATTCATCAATTAGAAGAGGAGAGTAAGGTGTTCTGCTTTTTAACACCCATTCAGTTTCTCATTGTCACTGAACTAGTCAGTTTCATGTACAAACTGAATAAACTAAAACAGAGAAAATGTTCTCTCTGCACCTGCTGAAGAGATGTTGTCAAAGCTGGTTTAGTACTTCAGAAGACTCTGGTTCCAGTGCCCAGGCATTGGCTTTTAAAAGCTCAGTGGTTTGCCTATATCTACTTCAAGAGCAGCACTGCTGCATGAACATCATCTTCAAAGTGTTTAAGAATTAAGCCTTACCCTTTAGGGCCTGGGCAAGGCTTTTATCCTTTCAGAATTCTCTTTAAATGGGTTTCATTTTATAAAGTGAAATGTGGATTTCTTTTGTTTTTGTTAACCTGTTTTATATCCACTTAGGTGTAGACTTCTACCCTGCTGCCCCAGGAAAGTGCTTTATCCCCAGTACAGACCATCTCAAGACCTGAATTAATAGGTTGATGTTGGGTGCTCTCAGCAAGGGTACCATTTGCAGTGAAATTTTGTGGTATTGCCAGCTATCTACTGGAAAATGAACATGGGACAGAGATTTGCTTTGTATTAGCTGTCAAATAATAGTTATGACAATGTGTTCAGTTGAAGTTTTGTTGACCTAGACTAATTTCAACAGTTGCATTCCCCTAACTCTTAAACTATCCAGTCTCCTCCTTTATGCAGTTTTAATTCTAATACTGCATGTGACATAGGATCATAAGTAAGTTTCTGGTGTTGTACAGAGTGCACGTCACTGCTTATAGCTATGAAACGCTACAGGTTTACTGTAGCATCCCTATGAGTGGGGTAGCTGGAGCAATAAAGGAGGGAATTATTAGCCATTTCCTCTTCCAGCCAGTCAGTATCTGATTTGGTAAAGTAGAATTCAGTCATCTGGATTTATTTTCACTTTGCACTGCTAGGGATATGTAACCATGTTAACTTTGTTCTGATGGACAATGTTTGTGTGCTTTCATTCATGAATTAGACTGAGTGCTCATTGTTACAACAAGTGCATAAGGATTTCCTCAAGGCAAATACGAGACAAATTTTTAACAACCAACTCATAAAGCAGTAGTTCTCAGCCAAGATATTGTGGCACCCAGATCCTTTGAAGGGTGCCACCACGTGTGAGGCAATAAGTAAGGTGTGAGGTGCTAGTCACGTAAACCCAGCTCAGGCTTGCCCCTGTGTGGACAGTCCCCAACACCTACTGCCCAGCCCCTGTTAGCACTGTAATATATAAATTATTTTTTGAAATTGGGTGACAGTTACCAGGAGTTATGGAGGAGTGCCTTGTGTCCAGTGAAGGGTACCTTTAGTCCAAAAAGGTTGAGAACCACTGAGTACAATTACTATATACCATAATCAACCGGTACTGCATATGGAGTGACTTGCTTGTGTTTTTCGTCCCCAGTATAATATAATGAAGTGTGTGTTTCTAAGCCTTCCAGTTACAGTACTGTTTTCTGAGGGCTTCAGCCAGTATTCATTCATTTGGAAGACTTCTGCAGGATGGTGATTTGCATAGTAACCCTGAGAAAACCTTTAAGACTAAGTGGCAAACCTCATTTTTCTGTGTAAGAGTTTAAACTTTATAACTCTCTCATGATTTAATGTTTTATTTTGTTTCCACAGTGAAACCTGAAGAACTTTATGCTTTCTCTTATAACCCCAAAATGCCTAAAGATAACCGTGAAATTGGATGGAAGATGGTTGATTTAAAAGTAGATTACCAGCGAATGGGGATTCCGAATGACTACTGGGAAATAACAGATGCTAATAAACACTACGAGGTAATTCTGGTGCAAAGTACTTGCAGTTGGCACAGCAATCCCTTCCTTTGTTCTGATGATGTGTGGCAACCCACTGACTGATACCTCAATGGTACCATGGAGGAGTTTAGCTGAAGCAACAACATCTTGTGAAATTTGGTAGTGATACTGTAAAAGAACAAAGCTACCTTGATAGAGCTAGGTAGATACTAGGTAGGTAGAACAGAGCTAACAGATACTGTAAAAGAACAGGGTTACCTTGATTTGCTTGATCACACTGATAAAGTAGCTGATAGTCATTTTTCTAGAGAAGCCTCAAACCACTTCTCAGTCTACTAGAGAAGCCTCAGACCACTTCTGCCAGTCCTCAGGAAACTGATGTTTTTTAGCTTCCCAAAGTAAAAAGGGAATTGTGTCAACCCCTGTCCCAGCATCTCTGTACTCTGGTGGGTAACTGACATGTGGAAGAAGAATGGAACAATGGTGTGTCCTGTAGGTGGTACCAAAAGTGGTGTGGGGGAATAATAGCCAGCTGGCTAATTCTCTGTTCTACCTAGAAAAAAAGACCTCATCCCCTTGCCCTTAACAAAATGCCACTGCCATTTTCCTTCTTTCTTTCCAACCTTGAAGCAATATAAAGCAAAAAATAATTTAGGTATGCAAAATATCATGTATTCAAAAATCATAACTTTCTGCTGCTTTTGATGTTGTAAAACCTTTTTTGGCTAAAAGGCATAGAAGACAGATCTGAGAACGATGGAAAATAATATACTAAATTGTTACTCAACTTGAATCCCTTTCACATATTCTTCTGCTACCTTGTCTTGGGTACCCATCAAGGCACACAGGCCTCAGCTTTCAGAAGTTAGTAGTAATTTGAGACGTCTGAGTCTTTGGATTTCCAATTTGAGACCTTTTAAGGGAAGCTGACATCTGAAGATGTGCACCCAGTAATTTTTGAAGCTTTAGGTCCCAGGGTGTAACTCTTACTTTTTTAAAAAATTTTCTTACTTCTTTTTTTTTCATTTCCTTAAGGTTTCTAGCTTTAGATTTAACCCATAAAACCTCAAAGTCAAATAGTGAGAATAGATTTTATGTATGTGATTATACACGTTTAAGTGATTCACACCTCGTTTGAGTTGTTGAAAATTAGGTGCCAGAATAGCACTTGTTTTTGAGGATGTCAGAGATGTGTGCTGAGAGCTCACTCTAAGATGCATAGGATTCTGTAGGGAGCATTTTTATTTTGTATAATTTAAGAACAACCACTTCTTTATATCCAGTCTTTGTTCCTACACACAGACTGTTAATTTGCTGGAATACCAAAAGGAGATCCTACTGAAATGTGTTTGGTGTATGTAGTCTTGCTTTTTGCATGTGTTGTTGCACTGTTTTATGATGTAGAAGAACAAATTGAAATCATACCACATATTCAGGTACCACATACATTTTATTTCATGGTTCCTGGTAGATTCTTGTTTTGCTGCTTCTGCTGAGAGAGACAATTGAATCTATCAAGATAATCCATGGGTACTGTGTATTAATGCTAAGAAACAAATATTTAATTTCTCTATTAATAGTAATAACTGATAAGTATTGTAATATCTGTATCTCTCTCTACTTCCTATTTAGGTTTGCAACACATATCCTCCAGAAATAGTGGTGCCTAAAGCTGCTAGTAAGGCAACCGTGCTTGGAAGTTCAAAGTTCAGAAGCAGAGGGCGGATCCCAGTGCTTTCTTACTTCTACAAACAGAATAATGTTAGTTATGTTTATTTTACTCTTTTTGTTGTTGTTGTTCTTGTTGCCCTATCAGCGTTCAAGTGGAGGAAGATTGTGCTTTATTTGGAGCAAGAGGTTGAGAGCTGCAGCTCTTAGATTCTGTTCCAGTTTTCCTGTTGATTTGTTCAGGGTCTTCGAGCAAGTTAGTTGAGGCAAATTGGCAGGTTATCCCAGAACTGAGTTTGATGCAGGGTTTCCCCACCCCTGGTATGTAGGTAGTAATAGCATATTTTCTAGGAAATGCAGACTTAATTGCTTCTTATATGCCATAAGGTCCTTGTATGAACAAAGCTATTCAAGTGCAATTAGTTTTAAACATTCAGAGGAGTTCAGTTATTAAAAGTTTTCTGACCCTTTCTTTCCTCTGCTCCTCTTTCCCCAGCTTTCCAAAATTAAAGAAAGCTTGATATGACCCTGTCCCTTAAACCTACATAAAAGGCATGTGTGCTTCCTATCTTTTGAGTCTTCAAATTACCAAATTAGTTACTTTGGGCAATCTTTAACAAGTTGCATCTCAACTCAGCTAAATGTGCCAAAGTCTGAACAGAAAGAAATAGCTTAGAACACCTACCTGATTTTATATTAACTGAGAATAAGTGAATTTTAACCTCACTGAATAATAGTGTAAGTTATTAACTTTGCTTTCTCAGCAGTGTTTTGGGCACAGGGGTTAGCAAATGCTTTCACAGTTAAATTGCTGACTCTTGGTCACTTCCTGAGGAAGTGTCTTCTGACCAAGAGATTGTATGGAGTTGTGTTGCTGGAAACAGCTGCAATTATATAATCACGTACAGTGTTCCCTCAAGTCCAGAACGGTGCTACCATGTTGAAGTCATAAAGAAGAACAGACAAAGCCACAGAATGAAGTTGAGTAGAGGGGCAACAAACAAATTGGTTAGGAGTCAGTCAGTAGAGGAGTGGACTTTAAGAAGGTGGTAAAGGAGGATGGGGAAGGGTGGATGGCTGTTTTCTTAGTACCATGTCCACTTCAGATTCCCAAAGCTCTTGTGAGGAGTAGATGAAAACACTGTTAGAATTATTCTTTCAGTCTCTCCATTTAATGGAATTTTTTCAATGAAACAGAGCAGTATCCTGGCAATATCCAGATATATTGTTCCTTGAAGCTATAAACATTGCTAGCTGTCTGTATTATAAGCTGTGTAAATTATCTGTTTCAGGCTGCCATATGCCGCTGTAGTCAGCCCCTTTCTGGGTTCAGTGCCCGCTGTCTGGAGGATGAACACATGCTGCAGGCGATTAGACAGGCCAACCCGGGGAGTCCGTTCATGTATGTTGTAGACACAAGGCCAAAGGTATCACTTGATATAGGAGTTGTGGATGTTTTTAAAGTTCACCTCTGTGTTATGGCAACACAGTTTCCATTGGATGCTGGTTTTAATATCTAATCTCATGAAGGAGCCTTTGTAAAACTATGCTAAAAGTATCAAGGTAATTTCTTCCTTGCCCATGAAGCTAGGTGTCCACCCACTGTTACATTTTAACGGTGGATTTGGTATCCAGCTGCTGTTTTTGTCCTTAATGTGTCGTCTGCCTTCCATTAATAAAACTGCATTCATGTTAGGAGCACATCTATATCTGGAGTATTATGGATTATTTGAGATTATAGTTAAGTACTGTCCAAGGTTAACAACAGTTTCATGGCTGAGTAGGATAGTGCATTGTTCCAGTCTGGAAATTACACTCAATTTATCATTGAGGTGGAAATGAGAATCTTAACTACTGTTTTCACAAGACTGAAGTGCCCATATCCACATTACCACCACTTCCTATCTATCTCCCTCTTCCCCCCAGCACCAAATTCCCAGACCCATGGGGAGATCGGCCAGATCAGGCTGGCATGCAGGGTTTGTCCTTGGCTGATGTGCTGAGTGTGATCCAGCACGTTGCCCTGGACCCATCATGTGGAGTCTGACTCCAGTGCTGCATGCCAGGGTGGACCAGGTGAGCCAAGTCTGAGACCACATGCTGGCTCTGGGGCTGTGTGCTGAGTTGGACTTGGTGCACAGCTCCAGAGCCAGTACAGGGCCCCAGACTCAGTGTGCTGAATCGGGCACTGCTTGTATGGCCTGAATGCCAGATTAGCCCCCACTGCCCATTTCCCCAACCACAGATGCCTCAGACCTCAGTTACTTGCTTGCACTCCAAGGTTACATTCCCTGCCCTCCCCTCTTCCTCCTGCTCTTCATCACCACCACTTCAGTCCTTCCAAAAAAAAAAAAGGTGTCTGTTATATTTGAGGGGGCAAGGTATACATGAGAACAATACGGTATTTTGATGAGTGCCCCAGGGCACATGCTTTGGCTGGTGTTTCTGAGAGCTAATCCCATTGCACCATTTAGCCCGTAATTATCATTCATCTGGCATTTTAGTGCCCCTCACTTGCACTTTCAGAGGTGTTCCACTGGCATTTGTCTTGAATTGCTGTTAGTGATATGCCATGGCACAACAAAGGAGGGAATTATTAGCCACATATCCTTTTCCAGGCAGTCAGTGTCTAACCTGGCAAAGTAGAATTCATAGATTCATAGATGCTAGGGTCGAAAGGGACCTCAACAGATCATTGAGCTCTGACTCCCCTGCCTAGGCAGCAAAGAGATGGGGTTAGATGACCCCAGCCAGATGCCTATCCAGCCTTCTCTTAAAGACCCCCAATGTAGGGGAGAGCACCACTTCCCTTGGAAGCCCATTCCAAATTATGGCCACCCTTACTGTGAAGAAGTTTTTCCTGATATCTAGCCTAAATCTGCTCTCTGTCAGTTTGTGACTGTTCCTTGTTACCCCAAGAGGCGCACTGGTGAACAGAGCATCTCCAATCCCTTGCTGCATCCCCCTAATGAATTTGTAGGCAGCCACAAGATCACCTCTCAGCCTTCAATTCGGTTATCTAGATTTATTTTCACTTTGCACTGCTAGGGATTTGTAGCCATGTATATCTCCCCTCCCCCTCTCCCCCATCTGCCTGTTTTGTTTAGTGGAGGTAAGCTACTCTGTTTCCAAAAATCCATAATTTTGAGACTGGAAGGTAAAAGTGAGCTACTCATTTGAGCATTAAAGATCTTTCAGTAGTTTTGATAATAGTTCTGACTAATTGTTGTTTGCACACTCAGCATTTTTGGTTCCAAACTGCTTCCTACATTTCAGTTGGGTTCTTGCTGCTCTAAGTTTAGCATTGCCGGGCGCTATTAAAAATCTGCCATGTTGTTTCCCCAAGGTGGCTATAGTTCAGTGACAAATTCAATGATCTCTTGGTAGGACTGTTTGTAAAATGTTTTGGAAGCCTGTACTATTTCTATAGCACATGTATATTTATGGTGTTTCTGTAAAGATGCACCTACTAGATGAAGGAGCTAGGTCCATCTGTAACTAGCACTTTTAGCTGATTCATTTCTCCCCAATCCCCTCCTTATAGTTTTTGAGTTAAAAAGAAAATGAGTCAAACCTCTCTGTCTGATAACAGACTTGTCAATAGTAAGACCAGCATAAAAAGCTTGTCTAAGGAAGCCTGAAATTGGCATTCAGGTTTTTCATAGGCTTTTGCTTTGGGTTAACTCACAGCTCATGCCTATGTAATTGTAATATAACTATTGGAAACAATTTATAAAGCAAAAAATACTTCTATGAATGGCTTTGCTTGATATTTGCTCTGAGAAATGAAAAGCATTTCCAAGCCAGGTTCATTTATGCATTTTTTTTTTTCTGTATAATTTCTGCAGTTAAATGCCATGGCCAACCGAGCTGCAGGAAAGGGATATGAGAATGAAGATCACTATGACAACATTCGTTTTAAGTTCATTGGCATAGAAAACATCCATGTGATGAGGAATAGTCTGCAGAAACTCCTGGAAGGTAAATTTTTCACTTTTGGCTGCTCTGTGTAGTGCTGGTAACTGCTGCTTGATATAACAGCCTTACCCATTCTGGAATAAGTACAGTATATACAATTATGTGTGCACTTTGGGGGCATGGGAAAGGAAACAGATTAGCAGAGGAATTCTTGCCTTTGTGCTCAATTTACTGAAGTGGATAAAAGTGGTCTCTTTTGCAAAACGAACTGATACTGAAGTATTTTTAAAATGTCTGGCAAGAAAGAAATTCTTAATTTTATCCTAAAATGAGAATGAATATTAGTATTTAAATATCCTACAACATATTAATCTCTTAACTGTTTATACAAATTAAAGCAAATTAAAAAAGGAATGCAGTATTTTGCCACTAGTACAGTTTATCAGTTTATTGGTGAAGTATTGATATGTGACTAAAGTGTAAGGGTGTGTGGTTTTTTTGTTTTTAGTTTGTGTTGTAGTTTGTGTGATGCGAGACATTTACAGAGTTCTGTAGGAAGGCTGACAACTATATAGAAAGAAATGACAAATGAAAATGCGTGTGTGCATGCACAAGCAAGTACAAATCTAGACTGCTGTGTGAGGTTTTGAGCTATCAAAATTTAGGTAAGACTTTCAGGGGCCAGTGGGAGCTGAGGACCTGATTCGTCTCTCATTCCTATGGTTGTAAATAGGAGTAAGTCTTTTGAAGCTGATAGCTGTGCCCTGTTACAAAAGTGATGCTAGAAATGGTAATGAAAGAAGAGCATGAATATTATGGTAGTACTCTGGCTGACTTATTGACAGTACTCTTAGTATTATGCTGCTGGCAGGGGGTACTGAGAAGCGCTGTAAGCTGATACTGTTAGTCCTGTTGCTCAGCCTTATAAGCAAAGCATAGATGCCAAGTATGTGGGGCCCAAGGGCCTTAGCCCCCCTTGGGAAAAGGACTGTCAGGGGCCCACACCTGAGGAAAATTACATAATATTTCTATATTTTATGTTGTGCAAGTTGGATTCAGTTATGTTGAGCATGCTGGGTGTAAGGTGATGTGCTTAGGAATGATGACTGAGGCCCTGAGCTATTACCAGGGATCCAGGTTTTCTGTTTGCTGCAGAGAAAAATGTAGATTTTCTCCTTTAAAGGAAAAAAATGTGGGAAATGGTGGGCAGAGTTCTGGCCTGCAAGAGGCTGTTTGGGGCTGGAGGGAACAGGGAGGGCGACTGGCGCCAGGGGACACCATGTGGATGTGCGCTTGCACATGCATGTGGTGGCCAAGCAGTAGTGCAGAGTGTCTCCTGCAGGTAAATCTATGGGAGTGTGAGGGGATGGGGGCACAGGTGACTCAGTGGAAGGGTGGGAGGAGCGTGTGCCCCCCAAGATTTTTGTGCCGACAGCGGGGCACTGGGCTGCAGTGGGACCACACCAGTTCTGGGGTAGGAGCCACCTCCGTGGCTCAGTGGGTGGGACCCAGCATGGGAGGTAGAGCCATGTTGCCATGACCACCAAGGTGTCAGCACGCGGAGTTGTCTCTGCTGCTGGCGAGCAGCACAGCGCTCCTTGTATCCCCAGTTACACCCCACTGGGCACAGAAATCTCTGTGGGCACGTGTTCCCCGTGCCCTCCACTGTGTAGCCTGTGCCCCCTCCTGTCCCCTCACACATCTGTCCCCACACACGCATCCCGTTCCCCATAAACTGGTGGGCAGGGGGCATATATCAATCATCTTAAGCCCCTCCCCCCCGCAAAAATAAGTAAGTGCCTATGAGGCAAAGGATAAGTACTTGTATATTATTCTCATTTTGTTTTGCAGTCACTAATGTAATGGTTGTCTAACTATGAAGTGATCAGATCACTGATGTTACAGATCAGCTGGCTTGGTAGCATCCACAATTTAGAAGTGACCTTGGGGTACAATCCAGAAATTCATGGGATGCAGAAGTTGACACGAGCCGAAGTACTACTCCTAGAACACCCTTTGCTGGGTGATTTATTTTGGGATGAAGAGGCAGAATAAATGCTGCTCTTTTGCTACAAGGCCTTGACAGTAATAAAACGTCTGTCATAGTTGCTGAGGGAGAATTGCACTATAATGTTTTTCAACATAACATCTGAGCCCTTCTCAAGGTTAAGACATTATTTTCCTCTAGAAATTAGAGCTCTCCATCTTTCTCATAAGCCAGTTTCCTACAGTGATTACATGGTGGAGGTGATTGGATATGAGCAGTGGCAGTGAAGGGCTGGAGAAAAGCATAACACCTTAATCACCTACCTTGGACTGAAGCATGCACTTTTTGAAATAAGATTTTGATTATAACGGTGGACAGCCAAAGGAGGCCAGAGTTACTCCTTATTAGATCCTGGACCTTCTGCAGTCTAAAAAAATGGTCTGTACACAAAATCCCTCAGGTACAAAGAAAATTGATGCCTGTATTTCAGTATTCAGAAGAGTCACTTTAAGAAACAAAGCAAACTTCTTCCTGTTATGTGGGAAAGAGTAGGAAGAGGAGACAGATCTTGTGTGCTAGGGATTTAGTTTTTGGCATCTCAGCTAATTCTTCTATTTCTATGTTGTCAGTGTGCGAAACAAAATCTCCCTCCATGAGTGATTTCCTTACTGGCTTAGAGAACTCAGGCTGGTTGCGGCACATTAAAGCTGTAATGGATGCTGGTGTCTTCCTTGCCAAGGTAAAACTCCCACTCCATGTGAAATTTTTAAGAACATATACACTACTATTAGTGACAATTGTGAAAAAAATCTTGCTACAGCTGTAGGTAAGGCATAATGACTGGACTCAACTACAGAAAAAGAACCTGCAGTGGCAGGGCTTAAAGTGGGTGACCTAAGTGGCTCTAATGCCTATCTTCCATGCTTATGCTTTCTTACGTGAATTGAAATGAACCTATCCTTGTATTCTGACAGAAACAAGTGTACCTCCTATTATTTGATTTTACTTATTTCCATTTGAATAGTTAAAAAGGACATTTGTACAGACATCTGACAGTATTGCATACTAGGCCTGTGTGAATAGAGAAGTATTCAATTCAGATTCAGCCAATTTGGAGGACAGTGATTCAATCTGGATCTCTGTCCTGAATCTATTCGGCCAAATCTTTCGAAGCTGATTCAAAGAGATTTGGTGATTTGGATTGGCCAAGAAGAGGCAGGCATAGCCAGGCAGCTCCTCTTGCTGTGCGTGCCTCTCCCTGGGCGGGGGGAACTGCAGGAGAAGCCCCCATGGCTGGCCTGCCCAGCCCCAACCTAGCCCCGGCACTTTAAAAAATAAAAAATTAAAAAAAGCCTGGCATTCACCAGCTGCAGCAGTGGCAACTGGCGCCTTTGGGTGCTTGTGGCAGAGCCCCTTGTGTAGTGGGGGGCAGTGGGGATCCCTCCCCACCCCTGCTTGGCACCTGCGTTGCAGCTGCCCAGTGATGTGGGTGCAGCGTGGCTCAGCAGGATGCCATGCGCTGCCTGGGAGCTGGGGCTGAGTGATACTGGGCTCTGGGTGACTGCTGGTGCTGCCCCAGTTCCCAGATAGCGCGTGGCACCCTGGCAAATCATGCTGCACCTGCACAATGTGACAGTTGCCGCGCAGGTGCCAGGCGGGGAAAGGTGATCCCCGCTGCCCTCCAGTGTCCCGTGCTGCACAGAGGGGGGCTCTGCCATGAGAGCCCAGAGGCCCCAATCACCGCTTCTGCAGCTGGTGACTGCAGAGCTGTAAAAAAAAGAAGAAAAAGCCCTGCACTCGCTGGATCTGGCAGCGGCAACCAGGGGGCCTCTGAGGGCTCATAGCAGGGCCCCCCCTGCAGTGCAGGGCAGCAAGAATCACCTATTCCATGATCTTCCGAGGTCCCTTCCAGCCCTAATGTCTATGAAATGCCCCCCCACCCCACCCTTGCTTGGCATCTGTGCGGCAGCTGCCCCATGGCGCAGGTGCAGCACGGCGCAGCAGGGTGCTGTGGGAGAGCTCAGGCCACTGGGGCTGAGTGCTGCCTTGCTCTGGCTGACATGTGGAGTGCCCCAGCTTTCAGAGAGTGAGTGGCACCCTGCTGAGGTGCGCTGCACCCATGCCAAGCGGGGGTGTGGCTCTACCACAAGCCCTCAGAGGCCCCAGTTCCTGCTTCCAGAGCCAGTGAGTGCAGGGCTTTGTTTCTTTTTCTTTTTTTTTTTCTTTTAAAATGCTGGGAGGCTGGGCTGGGCTGGGCTGGGCTGGGCAGGAGATGGGGCTGGGCAGGGCAGCCATGGGGTTTCTCCTGCAGCTCCCCTGACTGTGCCTGCCTCTGCCCCAGTGGGGGGAGCCATAGGGGCTCTGCCCTGCTGCCGCATGCCCAGCTGGTGTAGGGGGGCCTGATGCAGGTGCAGCTTGCTTCGGGCGGCAGCATGGCATAGTGCCTGCACCCAGCGCTACCATGTACATCAGGACTGGGAGCAGGGGCTTTGCCTTGTCGCTGCTTGCCAGCTGGCGTAGAACATGCAGGATGTGGGTGTGGCAGCATTGGGAGCAGGGGCTGTTCCCTGTTGCCACTTGCCCCCTTCTGCCTGGAGCGAGCTGTACCCGCATCCTGCACTCCCCCCTGCATGCCCCCCCACCCCAGCTGGGCCCCAGCCCCAATCCCTCCCACCCCCAACAGATTTACCAGCTGGAGATATCTGTCAGCTGCCTGTTTAGTTTATGGCCGAATCTCTGAATCAGCTGAAACTTTTCCGAATCTTTTTCCAAATGATTCAGGGCTTTTACTTGGTCTCCCAATATGATTTGGATTTGGAGATTCATTCCTCGAATCGGGCTGAATATCCTGAATCAAAGCTTCACACAGCCCTATTGCATACAATACCCAACTTTTCCTAACCTCTTCATTGGTTATCAAACACTCTGGTACTTGAAGTGAGGGGTAATTGCTGGAAGTTTGTTTTCTATTGTCACAGGATGCAGACAGACTGTTTAATTTTGAACCTTTAACCAAGCTTTTGTCTTCCCAAGGACTGTTAGGAAGTGTGTGACCTAGCAGAATGAGAGATCTTGCCACATTGCCCAATTTTTTAGTAACAAATAGATATGCAGAAAGTGACTGGCAGAAGTCAGTTGCCTTGCATAAATATTTCATAGATTTCATAGACATTTGGGCTGGAAGGGACCCCGGAAGATCACTGAGTCCAGCCCACTGCCCAGGGGCAGGAAATCAGCAGGGATCATAGGATCCCAGCAAGATAAACATCCAAAAGTGTCTTGAAGGCATTCAGAATGGGTGCTTGAACCAACTCCGGCGACAGTCTATTCCAAACGTTGGGGGCTCGGACAGTAAAGAAGTTCTTCTTTATGTCCAGCCTGAATTGGTGGTGGTGGAGTTTGTGACCATTCGATCTTGTCATCCCTTGGGGCGCTCTGGTGAACAGACGTTCCCCCAGATCCTGGTGAACACCCCTAATAAACTTATAGGTGGCCACCAGATTGCCCCGAGATTTGCTTGAGAATCATCTATGGATGCAAGCCAGCATTTTGCTCGCTTTACTAGCCGCAGCATCACATTGAAGGCTCATGTTTATCTTGTGGTCAGTCACGACCCCCATAGTCTCCTTTTGCTCTGTTTAGTTATGTTGTCAGTGTATTTTTAGAGATTACCTTTGTTCCTCTAGGAAGGTGAGCATGCTAGTAGGGAGGGAAAGACTGCAGCAAGACCTGCATAGGTTACAGGGGTGGGCTAACAAAAACAGGATGCGTTTCAATACTGACAAATGCAGGGTGCTTCAGGGAGGGAGGGAGGGAGTGGGGCAGGTGCTGCCCAGCCAGAGCGGTGAATGTGACCCTGGGGCCAGGAGCAGGACAGAGCCACAGACAGCTCATCCAGGGGGTATGGCTGAGGGAGGGAGGGAAGACAGCTCCCTGCTGCTACATGCACCCCCATGGGGGGCATGTGCCCCCGCTGGATTTGTGTGCAGGGTGTGGGCAGGCTGCCTGCTACAGGCTCAGGGGCAGGGGTGGCCCCAGGGGGCTAAGCCAGGACTGGGAGTGGGATGGGCTCAGCTGTGCAGGGCAGGTGGCAGTGGTGCTGGAAGGGGTGGTTATGGGGAATTTTGGGGTGGCTCCAGCCCCCTAAGCCCTCCTGCCAGCACTTCCCCTCTTGGGGCACTCTGCTCTGCTGTCTTATCCTCAGGAGCCCCACGCTGCAGGGTGGGCAGGGGGCATGCAGTCAGCTGTGGGGGCTCCCAAGGGAAAGGCAACAGGGGTGGTGCTTGGGGGGGGGAGGTTGGAAGGCTATAGGCACCCCAAAATTCCTTGTAGGCACCCCTCCCAGCACTGCTTCCACCGCCACTTGCTCTGAGTCCAGCTGCAGCCTGGCCCCCCCACCCCAGGAAGAGTCTGGTGCTGCCCCTGGCCCTGAGCATGCAGTAGGCAGCCTGCCTTCACCTTGTGCACAAATCTGAGTGGGGACAAATGTCCTGCATACATTCCCCATGGGTACATGCAGTGGTGGGGACCCGTCCTCTCCCTCAACACCCTGTCCTGTGCCCCCTGGATGAGCTGCCCACAGCTCTATCCTGCTCCCGGCCCTGGGGTCTCATTCACCACCCTAGCTAGGCAGCACTTTCCCCTGCCCCACTCTCTCTCTCACCGATCTGATCCCCCCATGCCCCTTCTCCCTTACAGACTTACTGGCAGGACGCTGCTTTCCAAGCTGCCTGGCTGCATTCTTGTAAATTGGCTTGTGATTGGTATCAGCCAATATGGCTGGTTAATAATTGACTATCTGTATCAGTCAAGAAAATCTTTATCGGTCCACCCCTAGTTTCTGCCCATGCAGAGCATTTGCTTGAATAAAACCTATGCTTATCCACTGCTCCCAGTTTATTACCCCAGAATTGTATATTTTGCTCTGAAAACCCTTTCAAGTGAGGAACATATCTTATTTGTTCTCTAATGAGTCTGCTATGTCTTTTGCAAAAATACACTATTTACTTGAATGTAAGACAGGAGTGTTCCCCCTTAAAACAGCATGGGGAAAAAGCCCTGTAGTCTTATATTTGCATGCAAAGTGGAGAGTGGAGCAGGTAGCTGCTGCTGGTTTGACTGGCATTGAGCCCCTCTTTCCCCCAGTTCCCCTCTGCAGCTGCTGCACCCCCCACCCCTACTGTCAGGGGCAGCTCAGCTCTGGCTGGGGTCTCTCCTCAGCACAGAACACATGGAAATGCCTTTCCCTGCCTAGCCAATCAGTAGTGCTGAGACTGCTGCATTGTCTACCTGGCCAGTCAGCTGTGATGACACTGATGTGAAGGGGCAGAGACTGGGGGGAGTTTGGTGCAGGGGGCAGAGGCTGTGGGGGCGCAGGTGTCAGGGGGAAGAAGTAGGCAGGGCAGAAGGCAAGGTGGCCACCTGAACCACCTCCCCCCCAGCCCCCAAGCCTTTCCTTGCTGTAGCAGTGCGGAAGGGGGAGGGGAGAATTCAAGACAACCCTCCAATACTCAGATTCTATACCTGTAAAATTATGAGAAACTCATACATTTTCCAAATGTAGAATCTAATTATGGGGGTTGTCTTATATTTGAGTAAATACAGTAAGTTATAAATCTAGGAATAGAGGAAGGGATATTAACACCCCTCCAGCCTTGTGCCACAGCTTCTGTCCATTCTTGCTTGTTCAGGCCTGGTTGTCTGAAAATTAATGATCGCTTTATTGCTATCTATATGCTACATAGTTAGCATGCTCCCTCTAGTTCTGTCCTGGTCTATTCAATATAAGTTCTTAGACTTGTCTAATGTAGCTCCTTCCAGTATATTATTAAGTGATGTGAATACCATATTGCATGGTGGGGTAAGGAATTGTATAAGTAAGATTCTGTTTTAACTGCATCTTCAGATTGTTCCAGATCCTATGAGCATTTTTAAAGTGATTAGATCAGCAATTCCTTTAGCTTTTGTGAGTTAGTTCCACAGTCTCAGGCTGGCCTCCAAGAAAGCTACCTCCTGCACAGACAGACTTTACCCTTGCAGTATAAATGTCTGTTGCACCTGAAGTAATCAAGTTGGCTGTGGTATTCATTCTCAAGCTGTAGGTGATCACTGAGGTACTCTGGGCTCAGAAGGAGCACCTGCAAGAAGAGGACTGAGACTTGGAAGTCTGTTCAATGATGCCAGGGTAGAGAGCAGACAATAAATCTTAGGTACTTGACAGCCCAGGTTGCTGAAGAGGCATGCTACAGTGTTCTGTACTAGTTACAATTTCCAAAGGGCTGGTGGCTTCATGCCCAGGTATGTTGCTTTGCTGCAATCCAGACATCTTACCCTTGGATTTTAGGCAACTTTCGTAAATGAATAGTAGACAGAGATGTAAGGACTGTCTTTAGCTTCAATAACTAGAGTAACAAGTTGCCAAGTTGTGTTCTGTTTTATTCTCTTTGCAGGCTGTGAAAGATGAGAAAGCCAGTGTCCTAGTGCACTGCTCTGATGGATGGGATCGCACAGCTCAGGTCTGCTCACTGGCTAGCCTCTTTTTGGACCCATTTTATAGGACATGTAAAGGATTCATGGTAAGAACAGTAATGTTCCACATTTGAAAAATAAAATCAACTCTGACTAACTCATTCTTGAAGTTGTTTGGAATGTAAATAAACTCTAATTAAACATTTTGTACTGCTTCTAGCAATTGACTTTAATGGACTCAATGACCTATAGACATGGAGTTGTTTTCCTGTAAAATTATAATCACTCTGAACAGCATTGGCACAGCAGCTAGTACTGTACATGATTTGTAATTCTCAAGTCTCTGTATTCACGTATATCCTCTAATGAGCCATCTCAGCAAGCTGCTTGCAGGTATAGGATGTGAACATGACAAAGGCTTACCAAGAATATGGGGAGGGAGCTTGTTTTTAAAACCTACTATGTAGCAAATTATCTTGACTGTAGAAGTTCATATTGGGTGACGTTTATTTCTGTGAAGTGGGCCAGCATAAGTCTTGTGCATCACTGAAGCCCCATTTTAACACTCTCTGCACCTGGGTGAATTGTCCATTTTCTTTTAAAGAAATGAGTTGCTTTTTTTGTACTAAGTGTTCACTGTCAAAATATAGCTTTGCATAGTTGGCTACATGTTGCTGCTTCCTATTAGGAGCCCTGTAGGGAAGCCACTGCTTTTGGCCCTTTAAGGAAAATTTAAACTCAAAAGGCAGCTACCACTCACCATGCTAGTGTGTTTGCTGCTGTTGATCTGCTGGTTTTATACAGAGCTGGATTCTGCTATGGTATTCTTTTTAACCCTTAACATTCTGTTGCAACCTGAGAATCAACAATGGCTTGCTTGGTGTATGGGGCATGACAAGTGTTGCAGTGACAAACAATGAGATATGATCATATTGGAAGCAAATATACCGAGATATTTTGTATTCTTTTGTTAAGAATACAAAATACCTTGCAAATCTTAAGACAGTGCTCAGAGTTAGATGAGTTTAACAAAAACCCTAAACCCCACAAAATATTAAAGTAAGCAGTATAGCTTGCTTAACTGCCAAATAACACGTTTTTTTCTCTTGTTCTTTAAATCCCCGGATGATTGGTGACCTCTGGGCTCACTGTACCATATGTTCAGAGGTGTAGCAAGCTCCTTCAGTGCCCAAGGCAGGTGTAGGGGGTGGGGGAGAGATTATGCAGACCACTGTAGAAGAGGACAGAGTCTTATCTGTTCCTGATCTCTGCTCTTATATGGCATTTGCTACTGCTGTAGCAGTGTGGTCTTCAGTTGCTGGCAGTGGGAGTGCAGACTATACAGCAGCTGAAGCAGTCCCAGGGTGCCCTGTTTACTCGCCTTCCCTAACCAGGCATGCCACTGGGTGCAGGACTGTGCCTGCTGTGGCAAAGGTTCCCCCGGAAGTGGGGTGGGTGTCATTCCACTTGCCCCCAAATTCATTCCTTGGTGAGGGGCTGCACCTACCTGTCTCGTAATGGCTAGGCAGAGCAGAGCTATTCTGATGGTAGCAAAGATGCCTGGTGGGTTTGGGGGGCATTTGATAACCTGTCAAAGATGCCATCCCCCCCCGACCTGTCTCCACCCTGGGGCTGCTGCCCCATTTGCAGCCCTGCAGATGCACTACTGAATATATTCTAAAAAGGATGCCTTTTAGAGCTATGATAATTGATCAAGATTAAAGCATAGATTTGTTTATTCAGCATCTCATTACATAGTTACTTGTGAAGGAAAATACTGCTCCCAGACATGTTCCCAGATTTAATGCAGCTTTAATCAATCCAGATATTTTTATTTTAAGTAAACATAGACAGAACCCATCCAGCATTTTTAATGTTAATGAAAAATATGCGCAACCTGTGCCATGTGATGCAAAATAAAATGTAAAGAGTGTTCAGTTATTTTCTTTTTATAATTCTCAGTTGTGATCTACTACTCTGTCTTTTCTAATGGAAGCAGTTGTGTTGCAGAATAAATGGATGCTTTCAGCATATATCTCAAGAGAAAAATGTTGGGGCTGCTTGGGTCTTGAATGGGTTTGTTTGGGTATTATGGGTCTGTAATATACTTATCACAATTAATAGATCAAAAGCACTCAGTATGACAGAACAAAGGGTCTTAAAGAAATGCTAATCCAATTTGGAATAAATTTGTATCCCCATGGAAGTCTAATAATGTTGGTGAATTACTCCCAACCCATAAATCAAATAGCTAATAAATAGGCAGTGCATGACAGATAATACCTACCAATGTAAGCTATGAGAATTGTTAATGTAATGCGTTTCATTTTTTCCAAGCAATTTAATTATTTTCTTTTGCTTTCTTTCTCTGAACGGAAGGTTCTAATAGAAAAGGATTGGATTACAGTGGGCCATAAGTTCTCACACAGGTAAAAGCAGATGACATTTTGGTTACTAATAAGGAGAAGGTTTGAAGGCAGATTGTAGCTTTCATGTGTTTAGAGTGATATTAAGTATGAAATATTAAGGTTTTAAGCAGATGTTTTGCCTGTTGTATGCAAAACTGTTTGCCTTGTATACTGATAGGAGTTAAGAAAAAACCCTAACAAATGTTTTCAAAGTATTTACAACGTGTAAAACATTCATTTTGGCCCATAAGATAAGTATTAAACAAACTATGCTCAGAGCATAAGGATCATCAAGTAGAGAGAATAACATTTTCGGTACATTTATGGAATGGAAGTCAAACTGGTGTTTTCTTAACAAGTGCAGAGCACAGAGGCTTACTGGAACCAAACTAATGATAGGAGGAAATGGTGCAAGCTGTTTTATAATAGTAAATGATGGTGAACTGGTGCTCTGTACTGAGTTGAATTTTATTTCCTAATGATAACTTAAGTGTGCAAATAACTCCTATTTCTACTTAAAGTCAGTTAACCTTTTTTCTTAGAAACCACACCCTGGAAATAAAACCCATGTAGCGATACTCATAGTGTTTTCTTCAAAGTGATCCAAGGATGAACTTTAGCCCAAACAACCTAATTCTAAAGTCATTATTTCTGCTTCAGAAAGGACCATTTTCACCCTTTTTTTGGCCTTGAAGACCAAAAAAGTAAATTTGTTTTTCCCAATGTAAAGGAAAAGCTGTTCGAAACTTTGTTAAGCTCTTACGAAAGACTGACTTTTCACCACTGCCTATGGAAATAGTTTTTCTAGTGGTGGTCTGTGCCTAATACTTCCAAGGAAGGTTTATGTCTCCCTTGTAATTTGTCCATCATGTGTACAGGAGCAAAACCAATCTGCCTTGCAGTCTAGTTGAAATGGCAGGTGTGTTGGCTGGGATTGTGTCTTCTGGATCAGTTTTTTCTTTTAAGGAACCTTGTTGCTCTCCTTTTACTTAAGGAAAAAATGGTACTGAGCAATTCAGGTACTCTGAGCAAGTCTGCAAAGCCACAGTTTTGTTTTGTTTGTGTGGATTTTAAAGTAGTGTTACTTTGCAAACACCGGATTTCCCTCCCCTCCCCCCGCCCCATGTTTTTTTTTCAGGTTTTTCCAGCTTCTTCCTTTCCCTTCCTCTCCCCACATTACCAAAAACTGTCAGGCAACAGAAGGTTTGACTGACTTCACACCTGAATTTTTGATAGAGTAGCTTTGAAGCTAAATTCATGCATTTACAAGACTCTCTGGCTTAGTGAAAGCATCTGTATCAAATATCCATGTTGGTAGATCTGTCCTGCAGTTGCTTAGATAGGTCGCCTGTTGCTCACTTTCAAGCAAGTATTCAACTGCTTGTGAGGGATGTATATTTGTAGTGTCACAAGAACAAAGAATAGTTTATTTCACAGTAACTGGGATGTAGTGGTCTCCTGGATTTCATGACCTACTTCCCTTCCTTTCTGCTATATATTCTTTTTCCTCTGGAATTTAGTTTTGTCAAGGGATGGTTTGTTCCACCCTTTTATGCCTGGATGTAGGATGAAGAGGGTATTAAGGCATGTGGGACTTTGATGCTGCCCTGACAGGCCCAGCTGGCCAAAAGTACTGTTCACATAGGATTTGTTTTAAGATTTGATCAATATGAGCAATATGTCTTGAGGAACCACAGTTCCTATAGGGTAAATAACTATCTTTACTATCTGTAGAATTGTCTTTTGGTTATGACAAAAGTGTAGAGCAGTGTACCTTAAAATCATTTTATAGTTTTTAAAAATTATTATTATTTATTATTAATGGTGGTGATGGTATTGCTGTTTTTGCTGACTGCTTGTAGGATGCAGCCTTGTAGCTTTCTTTCTAACTCTTTTCAGGTGTGGCCATCTGGATGGTGACCCCAAAGAAGTATCCCCTGTTTTCACTCAGTTCATGGAATGTGTCTGGCAACTCATGCAACAGTTTCCCTGTGCATTTGAATTTAATGAGCGTTTCCTTCTTGAAATCCACGACCACGTCTACTCCTGCCAGTTTGGCAACTTTCTTGGGACCTGTCATAAGGAGCGTGAGGATCTGAAGTGAGTTAGCAGTTTATGGAGCAACAGTCTGTAGGCCTCTTCATACTGTCTTAAAACTAAACTGGAAAGATAACTACAGGTTGAGGGAAGCATTCTCTTGATATCCCATGTGTTTTGCAGTGTAAAAAAAGATGTACATGCATGCACAAGAAAACAAGGAAATATTCTCAAACGTAGGAGGAAAGTGTCTCTGAAATTCTCATGTTGTAAAAGAGCATCTGTTTAGGATTTGAAGTTGTCAATTTTAGATTTTACTTTTTCTAAATTATAGACTTCTTGGGGATTGGAGTATTATTTGTTTGTAAAGTTAATGAAAGGAACTTTGGAAATAGATAGCTGTCTTACCCAGTCCTAATAGAGTCTTGCATAGGGTAATTTAGAATTATGCTACTACAGTATTTAACTTTTTAAGTGATTTTTCTAATTGACAGAATCTTTGAGAAGACCCATTCCCTGTGGCCATACCTCTTACAGAAGAAGCAAGAGTTCAGGAATCCTCTCTATAAGGGATTTACAGTTTACAAGGAGCTTCAGCCAAACACACTACCTTTCAGTTTCCAGTAAGTAACTGGAGGAGGGAAGAATCAGGGACCGCTCTTGTATGGGTGTGGAGAAGGGCATCTCCCTCATATGCCCTTTATCCTGTTTGAGATGCTTTTTACCAATAAGTGCCTCATGCCTCAACTGTTACATGAAGCTAAGGATCGATAGATAGATATGAAATCAGTACAAGCATTGTTTTAAAACTATTTGTTCACAATCAAGCTTCTTAGTGTTATTGAAAAATGGGAATTAAAATATGCAAATTGACTCCCCCAAATTCCTTGTCACGCCAAGTTTGACAATAATACTAGAGAGAGAAGTAATTGTTAAATATAATGCTCCCTCCTCCCTCCCCCCCCCCCCTTTTAAGTTGGGGGTATGCATATCTTAAGCTAGACTAATGCACGCATTTTTGAGTGGCATTGATGCTTATAAGCATGCAGTGGTAGCAGTTAGAGTTGAAATAATTGTTGCATCTAGTGGACTTACCCTTATACTGTTTTGTATTTGCTTTCTTAGGGCGCTCCAGTTGGACTAGTCTATTTCATTTTAGGTTTATCAGTCACAAGTGCTTAATAGTGTTTGAGATCTATGGATGAAAAATGTGTTTTTAAGCGTTAAGTAAAGTACTTTGCAGGTCAAAGTACTTTACAACAGAGGGTACAGGCAGCAAAATATAAGGCTTGCAGATTAAGTGAAATTGCAAGAGCTCACAGTAAAAATCAGCTGAAGAACAAATGTTACTGGTTTCATCTGGGCCATATTTGGCACAGGGCAGGAATATTTAAATCCTTGATTTTTCACTGAATTCTTAAATTTAATGGAAACCTGTCTGTTACTAAAACATTTTATAAAACCTCAGTTGTGGACTTCTTCAATCTGGAGCTTTAACTAGTTGAAAATCTTTTCTCTTCATTTGAAGAATATATTGAATCTTGTTTGTTTGTTTTTATCCTGTCCAGCAGGTCTTCTAATTTTCTTTCTCTTGTTCTTGAGGTTCTGGTGTGGCATGTATAACCGCTTTGACAAAGGGATGCATCCAAAGCAATCTGTGTTAGACCACCTCCTGAGTTGCATGAGCCAGAAGATGAAACTGGAAGACAATGCAATAGAGCTGGAAAATGTAAGTTCTGCAGGTGATAACAAAAAAGAAAAAAAAAGAAAAAAGCCATGATGTCTCAGTAAATGTTCCTGAGATAGAAAGGAGAATCTTGAGAGGAGGAGTTGCTTCAGGAAGAAAACTGAATTCTCCCTCTCCCTCCTGGGGTTGACCCAAAACATTTACATTTTTCTCACATAAACACCGTGCCAAAGGACAGTTATTCACACAGCTCTAATATTTGGGTAATTAGTTTACTTTGGCATATATTTGGTTCCCCGAGAGCTGTTAGAAAGACTACGTCTTAGTGCAGGGGCAAAAGAGTACGTGGGTATTGCAGACTGGGTGGGGTGAGCCTATGTTGTCCAGAGGTTCCTGTTTAACAACAGAGTTGATGTAGATTGGTGAGACTATATGGGGGAAACCCGAATTGTTAATACTCATGCTTTAAATGAGTACAGAGTATTTGCAACTCAAGGGTAGCTAATTGATCTCTTCCAACCAGTAGTGCTGAAAGGAAAATTTTTAGTGTAAAATGTTTGTAATTTAATCAACTTCCCCAGAGATGGGGAGAAAGATCTATAGCACAACTTAAAGGGTGTAGATCTGTTGTTTGGCTTTTAAGAATTGTAGTTTCTCTTTTTCTCTCCCATCTCTCAAAAAGCGCAGTTGTGAATTTTCATTGCAATTGGACAAGTTTCTACTTACGATTTATTTTCGTATAACTACAACTGGGCATCTAAAAATAGATTGGTGTAAAGGAGTATTAAGTCCTTTGCTAGTGTAGCCTGAACTCTGGAAATTGGAGCTTTGTTTCACTAAACACATTTTTAAGAGGAAAAGTTACTGATATTTGTTTATAAATGTTGGGTGCAGATTATGCAGTGCTGTGCTCAAGATACTAGAATACAATATAACCACAGAGGCATTGACCAAGAAGATGCAGTGCTTGAAAAGTGGTTGGGATGGATAATGAGTACAAGGGCATTTATACCAGGACCATATCATTAGGGGGCCTTATCTTTTTGTTCATCATTTTCTCTGATTCCTTTCTCTTGCTACAGAAGCTGCCATTCTTAGATGGTCCCTTGCCAAATGAAGCATGCTCCTTATCTAAAATTGTGAATGTTACAGTTGAATCTTCAAAAACACCAATGCTCAATACTCCCCAGGATTATGAAGGTGAACCACCAGCTCTGTTGACCAATGGTACCACAGTTGGGGAACTTGATGTCACGTCCCAGGTGGACCAAAAAAACAAAGAGAATCTTGCTCATCACCAGGACCTTTCTGGCCTCAGTAACACTGCTGGCGTTATAGATTTGGAAACTGAGGAGAAGCTGCAGCCCCAGTGATCAGCTCTAGTAGCATGAACCATGGGAGTAAAGCCTGCAAGATCTGTGCCCTACTGGGAATTTAGCCTTCTCAGCCATTTACAGTTAAATGTGAACGTGTATGTTTGGAGGGGCTGTTTGTGAATTGTGAGAGTGGCCTAGAAAAGAGATTTTGCCTTCAGCTTGGCTGCATTAGCACAGGTTAGTCTATAAATGTGCATGTAGAGCTGCCCCAAAGACAAGAAAGCTATCTCAATTTACATAGTAAACCTCATTTTTCAGTGGAAATATGGCCCCCTCTCCCACTCTTAGAGATGACCTTCCATTACTCCTAGTTCAGAGTTTAAAAGACGCTTTTGGTCATTTTGATATGGAGAGTTAAAAACCAAACTGTAATTAGAGCTGGAGAGACAAAATGTGGTGTTAAATGGAAGTGAAAGGCTGTAAATGCCATTTTGGTTCATCCTCAAACCTGAGTAAGCTAAAAAGGCTTTTCTTAGCTCTTCAAATATGCTCTGCATGGAATCCCACCCTGCTGCAGAGGCTGGTTATTTTTTGTTCCCTGTGCACATTTGTAAGGAGCTGTGCCTTGTATATGGAGACCATCTTAATGTCCAACCGTGGCAGTGTCATAATGTTTTATTCCTGTAATGTGTAGCAGTAGTATTTGGCGTCCTTTGTAGTTTTAAAAATACTGACTGGCTTTTGTATCTCTTGTTGCTGTCCACTTGCCCAAGAACTCAGATGGTTGTGTGAGTTGTCAGTCTTATGGCTGAAACCTTCCAAGAATACTTATTTCTCTATTCTCTAGCTAGTGTTTTTGAGTGATCAGATGGTGGTAAGTCCCAAGGAGTCTATAGAACATAAATTTAATATACTTTTTCCTACTCAAATCCTAGGAGTAAGAAACCAAAAAGAAAGGAAATAATTTAAATTATACTAGAGCTTCCTCTTCAGTTTTTATTTTGCCTAGAAAGGTTAATGGAGCAAGAGGTTGACTTAGCCACATTTAATTTTAAGATTTAAAGACATTCTCAAACCCATAAGTGAAACGATGATAGTAAATGCAATATATTTTGCTTAAAATTGAAAGCTAAAATGATTGCTTCACATCACATCTTGAGTGACAGTAGAGAATGTTTTATGTCTATTGCCCTGAACCTTAAAACATTCCTGCGGATCCTTTTGACACTGGCTTTTCTTTCAGGTCATGACAGGCAAACTCATTTTTCCCTCCTTTCAAAAACGTTCTGTTAATTTCAGTAAGAGAAGTAGGTGCTCAGCCTGAAATTGTATGTTCTTTCAGGATCATGCTCTTACTACACAAATATGTATGTGACAGTTTCTGATCTGACGAAGCCAGAGTTAAGACGTTTGTGCTAGTTCTTAATGGCTCATTTTAGTGCATTGTGTTCAAGCCGACAGAATTTTAAGGAGATTTTTGCCTTGGGTCATTGAAAATTGCACGGAAATGAACAACAGATCTCTGGCATTGGGCTTGTAGATTGAGATATGGACTCACTGTGCTGTTTGCCACATTACTTGTGTTCTTTGAAACTCACTTGAACTTTGAAAAAAAACGGGAAAAAGAAAGGGCTTGAAATAAGTAGATTTTATTGGAAGAGAACTTTCTGCTTGGCTCCTCAGAGGAAAAAGCCTGGAGCAGCTATTTCTCAGGCAGGATATTCTGTGTGATTTCCCTATATAGACATGCTTACTCTGTACTAAGAATGCTTTGTCCACTTTTCTGCTTTCACTGGTTCAAATGTTTGGGTTTCTATTAGATAGTGTCCTCTGATCTTAAAACCCATTTTTTTTAGAATTTTACAAAATCTAATAAAAACAGATAGAAATGGTTTCAGGTTTTCTTTAAAAAAAGAGTTCTACTGAGTATTGTAAAACAGAATGAACAGTCCTCATTCTTTTGCGCATAAGCTTGACTAAGATGGTTTCAGTGTTCAAGCTGAGCACTGAAGGGAGGGCAGAGGGGAGGAAAGGGGAGTAGTTAAACAACAAAAATATTGAGAAGTTGCCTCACTCTGGTTTTATGCTGATAATGCTCTTTTTGAGTATCTAACTTCCACTTAAGGTAGAAAAATATTCTCTCATTAAAGGGATTGAAGCATCTAGGCTACAAAGATGGATGTTGGAGAAGGGATAATATAGTTGCCTTTCTAGCAATCAGAAGACAAGCTGGTTTTTATGTTAGTGGATTTTTAAACTTTTTAAGCAAGCGGGGGTTTTGTTGGGTTTTTTTTAATATAGACTTTTAAACATAAAATTATTTCTATTCAGGATATAAGAGGGAGATAACTGCTTAGTATCTGAGTGATATCTAAATATGTTTTAATAAGTGCATCAAATAAAGCTACTAATAGTGAAAGGATCTGTTATGGAGAAAAAGTAGTGCTGTTACTTAAGTTGTGGTACACCAAAAAATACTGTGCCATTCAAATGATTGTGTGTTTAATGTTACAGTTTTAGGTTAATGGCTCTGTATAATGTATACATCTAAATTCATTACAGTTATAGAAAGGGATCCTGGATCTCAAGAGTTGCAAATCCATTCTTAACTCCATCTGTCATTAAAGAGAAAAGAAAGAGCTCTGTCAAACTCCTAAAATAACTAAATTTGTCTACAAGCCTTTTCTTCCTCATTCTGGCCACATCGTCATAAATTACCAGACATACAAGGGACCACACCTTCAATTATAATTCATTGGTCTGAGTTCATATAAGGCTTGAATATATCTTGAGATTTCCCTGGAAAAGTGTGATGTGGAGAGAAATTCTTTCCCTGCTCTTGCCGCACCCAAAAGTTTCACACACGCACTTTTTGCTATTTGAGGAGCAAGTAAAGCCCGGTGTTACTTTGTGTACTAGACTCTGTGCAGGTCATTTTGACATCAAGAACTTTTACATTGAAAAGGAGGCCAGTTAATGTGCTTTTCAGGACCAGTCATTTTGAACTTTCTCATTCTTGTGTGTGATCTTTAAGGAGAACTACGTACAGTCTTTAATTTTCACTCACTACTGATGGATTTAGACTTGCTGTTAATATTTATATAAGAATAGTTTGCAAAATGTTTATACCAATAATGTTACCTTGTCTTTGAAATCACCAGTAGATTTGTTTTAACACATATATGATAACTTTCCTGTTCACAGACTGATACAACACTTGGACATCTCCGCAAATCCATTGTATTCTTGAATCTTCCCTGGCATGTGGGCCTGGAAGGATTACTCTGAGTGCTGACAGTTGTGCTGGGCATTCAGTAATCTTGTTGCTTTTGACTTCAGTAATAAAACCATGCATGGCTGTAAACATTGAAATATAAAAGCTAAGGAAAAAAGGGTCCAAGACAACAGCTAAAGCTGCCACTTTAAATCCTTTAGGTTGTGTAAGTGTGCACAGCTGCAATATGTTTCAGACCTCATTTTGTGTTGGTCTGTTAAATAAGCAGCCCTGAGAAGGAGTCCCAAAACTTCTAAGGGAACTCTGCAGTTTTTGCTATCAAAAGACCAACTCATTCGATGCTGCTCATTTTTGAGGAGGAGAGGATTTTCTGTGTTTCAAGACCAAAAACAAAAAGCAGATCAAAGCACTGAGGCTTGTCATCCAGATTCTGATCAACTAGGATTGGCTTCCTGCTGTGTTTTTCCTGCCAGACTGTACAAATATGTGTTCAGTTTATAGTATAATGTCCTGCCTGCTGATAGTGGTGAACAATTTGAGTATTCAGCCAGTAATAACAGAAGGAAATCTAAAAACTGTTACTGAGCAATTGTCTAATACCACCATCTTCTAGGAGAAGAGTTACTTTAACTTCTAGTTTCCCCTAGTCGGTGACCTGAATGTTGTTAAGTCGGGAGTACAGTTCATGTGACAGGTTACTTTCCATTTTGATTTTCATAACTAGGCGGAAATGACATGTTAATGTAGACAGATTTTTTGTTTGTACAAACATCTGTCTGTTTTCTCTTCTGAAAGTTGTTTTTGTCTTCAATTAGCAGTGTTAATGGCTGCAAATATAATCTATCTTCCCCATCCTACAAAACTGGTATAATGTTACAATGCTTGTGCGTATCTGTGTAAAATGTATTTTATTTGATAAGGAAACTACTGTGTTAGAAGTTGGAGTGGAAGAGATGTTTATATGACTTTATTTTTTTTTTCATTTTTTAATATCAGCTTCATAATGCCGGAATTTTTAAATTATGCTTCACTTTGCAATTATTTTCCACAGTGAAAGTAGAGAGTCAGTGGTATCTTTTTTTATTGTTTGAGAGGATTAAGGGGAATGTTTAACTTGCTTATAGCTGCTGTAGTTTTCCATTGGCCCTTTTTTAGGGTAAGGAAACACTGTTTATTAAAAACCTTTATTTGTGTGTTTTGTCGCCATGGTGGCATTTCTGCTCTTAAGAAAATCCATCCATTTAAAGTGCTGAAATGAAGCATCTTCCTAGGAGGAAGATGGTGGTTAGGATACTTTCTGGTTTCACTATAAGGCCACCCTCAATGAGGTAGGAAAAAAGGTGGCTAGTAACTTGGTAGAAAAGTTGGGGGGGGGGGGGTGGGGGTCTACT